CATTCAAATCAGTGACAGAAGTCAAATTAAGCATACTTATGTTAATTTATAATCATATATAAATAAATAATTGTGATTTACCGTTTTTTTCTTTTTTTGTACTCATGTGCGACCCACATCAGTTCAAAAGTTTTAAATGTGGCCCTTACGTAGGAAAAGGTTCCCCACTCCTTTAGACCATTTCTTTATCAAAAATAAATATAAACGACTAAGCTCATTTATCAATCAATTCACTTAACTAGGTCATTAAGTGAGAAGTGCCTGTATATGATTCCATGAAGCAAATTTTATAATCTTTTTTACTGAAATAATCTTGATCATATCTGACTGCAGATATGGTTGTAATTCATATCTGAATTACAACCATATCTGAATTACAGTATATTATTACTTTCCCAGCTGTTATATATAACAGAGGTAAAATATGGTTGTGGTCAAAAATTGACCCCCTCCCAAGATTTTTACATTTTTGGACTGAGGGGACCTTGAAACATTGAGAAATGCAAAAAATTTGGGGTTTTTTTCTGTAGTATGGATATTAGTGTGTGTAGGTGGGCATGATTTTGTTCACCCTCTTTGAAGCCTCTTTGAAACTTCTGTGTTTTTATCAAAAATTTCTGAAATTTTGCAGGGAGGTTTGTGTATTAGAGGGATTGATGCTATTAAATTTTGGTGATTAAAAATCAAGGGGGTGGGGAGATAAAGGGGATTGTATGATTAAAATTTATGATTATAAAAGTATTTGCAATACTTTTATAACCATAAATTTTCATCCTAAAATATAATAGGAATGGTGAACAAAACATGTCAAAAAATTATTAAATAAATTCAAACAGATGTAACTTTTTTAAAAGAATAAAATAGTTTATATAACTTTATAAATCTATTTAAAATATTATTATTTACTAAAACTTTTATTAATTACAAATTATAAACTTGATGAATGAACAAATCAAAGTGCTTAATCATGACTTAATTATATTGAGCCTTTGTTTTCTGTCATTGGAAGCTAAGCCAACAAAAACTGATCTTCAGCAAAGTTAGAATTTGCACTAGACCTTGTGGCTCTTGCTAAATTTATCCAAACAACTAATTCCTAATTTTTTTTACTGGCAACTCACTGATATCTCTACATCCTTTTTAACAGTTGTCACCTTATAAAAACAACCAATTACTATACTACTTTAAGAATTGAATGTATATTGGAATGCATAGACTTAAATGGATGTAATAAAATGTTATTGAGAATTTTTTTTTTTTTAATAAATTATTAAAATAAGTAATTTTCAATTCAAATTGAATTTTATCATATTAAACGTAATAAAATTTAATTGCTTATTAATTTTCTTTTAATTTAATTGAAAGAATCATTACATATTTCCTAATAAATTTTGGCAATTTTACATTCAAAATTTAGTTTGTAATTTTTCTAATATGATACAAGAAAATTTAATTTTTAATAAAACATTTATATCTCAATTATTTGTTAAATTACTATTATATATTTTAATAATATAAAAAAAAATTTATTTTTTTAAAGTAAAGCTATTAATTTAATTATGTCGTGATTTAATACATTTATTATTTAATTGCATATTTAAAAAATTCAATCTTAAATTTTAATTTAATCTTAAAAGTATTTTGATTAATGTAATATCATATACACTGTACTTTAATTATCCTATTTTTATCAGTTATTATATCATTATAAACCAGTTTTTAAATATGCAAATACTTATGTAAATATGCAAAAAGAAACAATTTTGTTATATAATATTAAAAAATTTGAATATAATGTATGTAACAAATCTTCGGAAAAAAAGAACATTAAATTTTCACAAAAATCTTAAATACACTAAAATTTTGTATTTTGATGAAATTATTGAGTTTGATGCAGTTGTGTGTTTTTATATAAAACACACAACTGCATCAAACTCCAATAGTACTATTTATAAACATTGTATATACTGCCTTTTCAACAGATACTGCTATTGTTGCATTGCAAAAGAATTCTTTATTATTTATAAAAATTTTATAGGATAAAATCTTTGAAATATTACAATTAAATCTCTCTCAAAAATACCAAACTGAACTACTTGTCAAGATTTCAAATGTAAAGCTTTAACAATACTTTTTAAAAAGTTATGTATGAACAAAATGAAAATAAAGAGTAGAAATCACTTTTATGTATTAAACTACTGTGTAATCTAATTATATAAATTTATATTTGTTACTTTTTGAAAGAAAGAATACTCTCATGTTAAAATACTGAAATGTAACAAGTGTATTCCTCCTGTAACAAGAATTTAACCTTATTACTTATAAAAAATTTCAAAATAACTTTTAAAATATATATTGCTATTTAGATCTGAAAAATAACTTGTGAATGAACAAATTAAAGTCCTTAATCATGACTTAATTACATTGTGCCTTTGTTCACTGTCACTAGAAGCAAAGCCAATAAAAACTGTCATTAGAAACAAAATTAACTTTTCATTACATGCTAAAGAATAAAATTTTCAATTAAAAATAAGCCATGTCCTTTATTCTTTTCAATCTATTTATTTTAATATATCTATTGATAATGAATTCATTTCAGACAGTATTAAAACAATTCAATTTAATAAATATAATCTGAAAGTTATATTTATAATTTAAATTATATTATCTAATCATTTAAGATAGAAAAAAACAATTGCCAGATATAATGAATTCAAATTGCCAACATTTAAAAAATTAATTCTAAAAGTCTCATTGATCTACATTAACAAACAATTTGATTTACTTTGCAATGATTGGTAGTTTTACACTTAAGACATAAATTTTATATTTGTTTAACAAATGTTTTCCGTATTTTAAATATTTCTAAATTTTCAATAATAATACTTAATATATCAATAATATTAAATTCAAATTTTATTATTAAAATTTACAATTAATTTTAAAAAGATATAAATTGAAGAATATAAAACTTTCATTAAGACATAATTCAATCTAATTTTAAGGTCAAATATTCTGCATTACCTGCCACTTATTTCATAAATTTATGAAAATTCTTCTAAAATTAAAAGCTTTTATTTCATAACAATTTTATGAAAACTATTTAGAATTCTTTTTCAAATTTTGATTAATATTAAAATTGTTGAATTTTTTTGTAAAAAATACTAAACATCCAAATGTTTCTTTCTATTTTGATTTATCTACCGATTAATATTTTCTTCAATATCAAATATTTTAATTAAAATCAACAATTTTAAAATCTTTCTCAAAACAATTGTTATATTTACTAATTAAAACTTAATAATATATTCTGTAATAAATATATTTACCAATAAATAAATAAATTAAATATAATTCTCTTATTTAATTTTAAAATCAATAGTTCTATATAACATATAATCCTATGGTCATATGAAATTTTGCTTATCACAATTTAAAAGCAATCATATATATATATATTGGGTGAGTGAAAATTATGTAAACAATCTTGGATGAGTCAAAATTATGTGAACAATCTTGGGTGAGTCAAAATTATGTGAACACTATTTGAGAGAAAGCATTTACTCAAAGTTTGCGTTATACAGAGTCTCAACCTGACCACCAGCACGATTAATGCACTCAAACCAATGTTCAACAGTACAGTTTAGTACCAGAACACCAGAGATTGGGGAGGCCATAACAACAGTCTATTGTGACCAATCGGAATAGAAAACAAAACAAAATTAAGATGTTTCATTAATAATGTTTGATTAAAAATTAAGATTGTTCACATAATTTTGACTCACCCTGCATATTGAGATAATTTTAAATTTTATTTTTTTAATTAAAATATTAGTTTACAAAAAACATTATTTTTTACAAATATTTTAAAGTTTCATGTTTGAGTAATTCTATGTTATTGAAAATAATCTAAAATACAATTTTCTACATCTGAATAAATTGTAAAATAAAATAATACAATAAAAAATTGCATTCTTTTATTATAGTTTTTGTGTAGCATTTGCATATTATAGAAAAAGAGAATTTTTTGTTAATCTAAAATTTGTAATCATATTCATGTTTATTACTTTTAGTTTTTTGCTATAATTATAATTACACTAATTAAACACTTATTTGTAATAATTAAAAATTGTGTATATATAAATATTAATATTGAGTTTACATACATGTATATATGCATGTATGTATGTAAAGTACATGTATATATATTGTATATATATACTGCATATACATATTGATGAAATCATCACAGAAGCTGGAACCTTAGCTTACAGCAAGCTTATATTTATAACATTACAAGACCAAAAATGTTTATATTTGTGAGAAATGTAACTGCTGAAAGTTGTATTATAAGTAGTTTGCTCTACAGTATATATATTGATTTTTAGATATATATTTACATTGAATATACACATTTATGTATATAAATGTAAAAAACCAATATTCTTGAGATAAGACAGTAAATTCTTACCTTCAAAATTAAGATTAATAGTTGCAAAACTCTCGCCTGCAGAGTTTTTAGCAATGACTTTATAATCACCCTCATCTACATCCCCTACTTGGAAGACAGTTAAAGATGCAATATATACATTTTTTTCTAATGTTAAACTATACTTATAACGACCACCATCCTTAAGGGGAGATCCTTTATGATACCTATTATCAAAAAAAATTTCAATAAAACAATGTTTTAAATAATAGCTTTGTTTGTTTATATAAAATTACCTATTTAACAAAAAATAAATATCAGTTCAAAAATTACAATATTAGAATTATGCTGATAAGTAAAACTTAAGCAAAACTAAAAAAGAATTTATATTTTTATAAATCTTACACATAATATATGTAACTATTTCAGACTTTCATTAATTTGCAGTTACAATTAAATTAACAAAAGAATTAATAAAGTCCTTAGAAATTATATAAATCTAATTGTTAAAATTTTTAAAATCCATTTTTCTTGTTCGCCTGAGAATCTTTTGGAAAATTAGAATTAATAATTAAACACATTATTTTTTAATTATTAAAAACAATAAAATTGAAACATTTTTGAAATTTTATTCCTTAATAAAAAAATTATTTTAAAAACAAAAATAAGATCATTTTAAGAAATATTTAATAATTTTAAAATAATCATTTAGACCTACTTTAAAAAA